GTGTGTGTTGTGGGGGGGAGGGGGGGGGGGGTGTGGGGATATATTCCACTCTCACAGGTTAATTCTCCATGTTGATCAAGGGTTGCTGATAGAGCTGTGGTTTAGGCTCTACAACATTTCGGTGTGCTTTTTACAACTTCTTGGTCCTATATGGGCAGTATCACTATCATCTGGCATACACCTGATGAAAATCAGTCCTTTTCATTGCATTTTTATGAACGTAGTGTCCCTAATTCTGTATTGTATCTCTTTGAGCCTACACTCAAAATATAGTATACCACATCTGACTTCCTTACGTGTCTTCCTGAAATAATTTCTTTTGGAATTTTCTTTCAAGTTATGTTTCTTTTTATTGAATTTAATAATCTCGGAGAATTGAAAGTTCCAAATTTCTCTACAGGATTTGAATGGAAGGCTGCTGACTGTAAATAAGGCTGGTCCAAAAGGTTCAAGGCCAGAAAGACTCCCCCAGGTGTTTGAACCTTCAGTCAGAATTTATGTTGGTAACCTTCCGTGGCAAGTGGACAACGCTCGCCTGGAGCAGGTGTTTAGTGAATATGGAAAGGTAATTGATGCCAGGGTACTTTACGATCGAGAGACTGGGCGTTCACGTGGATTTGGTTTTGTAACAATGTCGAGTGAAACAGAAGTACATGATGCCATTGCTGCTTTGGATGGACAGGTTATTTTTCAACAACCCCCCCCCCCCCCAAAAAAAAAAAAAAAAAACGACAACACACACACAGAGACAGCAAAAAACTTTATATTCCTATTTTTTATTTTTGGATGATAGAACTAGAAATAGACATGTTTAGAAGCCACCAATCAGCCTGATTAAATGACTATATCCATACTGTCTTTCCTTGTCTACTATTAGAGGTTGGCGGAGGGAAGAGACTTGAACTCTTAATCCCAAGAAGATAAAATTTTCGTGAGGTAAAAAATATCATTGGACAAAAAATCCGTTGGTTCATTCTTGAGGACTTGCTTGTATTTATCCGTAGAAATAGATCAACGAATACAAGAGTAGGAAGAAAGAAGAAGCAGGGAAAAAAGGATGTGAAAGTGATCTCTTGAGTGTGTTTCANCACCATTCACCCTAATTTGATCTTACCTTCCCCCCTTGCTGCTCGATCTTTATAAGATATCTTTCACATTATAACGTTGATCGAATTCGAGCCTTTCCAAAAGTTTATAGATACCGAGAGAACATCTTATCAACAATTCGAGCAAAGATAACGCCCTGATAGAGTGTAGTGGAATTGAGCTACTCTGAGAGCTTTCTAGCATTTTCAACTGTTACAACGTAGAAGTATAGTCTCCAAAGCATTACATTATCCTACAAAAACCCATTAACATAACAAAGATTAGTCCACTGGTGATAGTGCNTTTTTTTTTTTGTTATAGTGGTTGAACTTGCATCAACTATACTCTCGAGCTCAAGACAATTATCGACAATTATCGTGACATGAACTGGAATAGAGTATATTGCTACATCATTAATGATAAAGTTGTAAATTTTATCAATCAGCATTTTCACCTAACGGACAGATTGTTGAAGGAATAGAGACACCAATTTTGCTAGAGAATTATGCTCCTTTATCATCCTCTTGAATGGTCCCCTAAAACTATGCCATGTATAATGCAACCACAGATATATGTTTAGCAACCAAAACTAAAATTTTGATGAAACCATGCCAAGCTATTACTCTCAGACAAATGCAAGCAATTAAGCCACATCAATCAATTGCTCTGTGTTGAAGTTTCGTAATGGCATCCACCATTCACCCTAATTTGATCTTACCTTCCCCCCTTGCTGCTCGATCTTTATAAGATATCTTTCACATTATAACGTTGATCGAATTCGAGCCTTTCCAAATGTTTATAGATACCGAGAGAACATCTTATCAACAATTCGAGCAAAGATAAGGCCCTGATAGAGTGTAGTGGAATTGAGCTACTCTGAGAGCTTTCTAGCATTTTCAACTGTTACAACGTAGAAGTATAGTCTCCAAAGCATTACATTATCCTACAAAAACCCATTAACATAACAAAGATTAGTCCACTGGTGATAGTGCCCCCCACCCCTCTCCCCTGCACNACAAACTCACATGCTATAATCAAGACAACAAAGGCCGAATTTTGATAAAAAGAGCCAAATTAAAAATAACAGACATCCAAAGATGTAAACCTAACTTCAGCCAAACATTTTTCGAAGGTTATTGTAGTTCAAACAGGTCAAACTAAGAGAGATCCAACAAATTTTCTTCTCATANAAAATTAAAAATAACAGACATCCAAAGATGTAAACCTAACTTCAGCCAAACATTTTTCGAAGGCAATAAACTAAATGTTATTGTAGTTCAAACAGGTCAAACTAAGAGAGATCCAACAAATTTTCTTCTCATATGCCTTAAGAAAGGAAAAACAACATACCTGCAATTGGACATCACAATATCAAGAAGATCCTCGAGCTTCTTCTCCATGTAACAAAGCTGCAAAATATAAGATGCAACCTTAATTTAACCATATTTATCATCATTACCTTGAATAATCACCGCATATTACCAAATAAAGGCAGCACCAAAGCACTAATATCAAAGCTGCATCATAACCCTAAATGACATACACAATATGCTCATTCCTTGCGTAATGTAAATCAAAGATTGTAGAAAATTACTGTTGCAGACAGTTCATCTGAATGTTTCTTCATCACCTCCCCAACCTTGGAGCCATCGCTCTCCAGAAGTACCAGCAAATCATCANAAGATTGTAGAAAATTACTGTTGCAGACAGTTCATCTGAATGTTTTTTCATCACCTCCCCAACCTTGGAGCCATCGCTCTCCAGAAGTACCAGCAAATCATCATTGACCTAACAAAATAACATATCAGAGCTCCTACATCATCAAGTTGTTCATGAACATCTATGCTCTTTACTATTCACATGCATGTACAAAACAGAAAGTTACAATAACATTTTTTTATCGTGATTGTAACAAGATAGAGGCAAAATAGAATTATTTTGGTTATGACATTATGTGGAATACCAATTGAGTGAATCTGAGTTTAACAAGCTCCCTTTGCTTATTCTATTTTCTTGCATGGATTTCATATTCAACCGTTTTTGATTTACTTTTCATACTTCATTAATAAATGTGTTTCTTATCAAAAAAAAAAAAAATACACCAAGCTCCATGTGTGCACTTGTGTTTGTCTGTGTGTGCAAGAGAGAGATGTTGAGATTTAATACACTTTAAACTCACAGACAAACATACACAATCGAAGAACAAACCAAGAACATAAAACAATGAAAAATAAAAAAGAAACAACATACATAGATTTTACGTGGTTCAGCAATTTGCCTAAGTCTACAAAGCTGCAAGGATTTCACTATAGAGAAAAAGAAATACAGAGAGCGGCTATCTAGTTCCAATCTAACCCTAATCACCAAAGTAACGATTTTTATACATCTTACATACCGGCTTCATGAACCAAGCCTCAAAAAAATTTTCATTAAAAATCACGCAACATTATTTCGGGGCGGTTTATCATCCAAATCAACACACAAACTAAACTCTAAGGCCCAACAAGAGAGAGAAAGCAAAAGAGAAAAAGGGGTGGAGGGGGTGTGGACACTGCAAATAGCACTTTCTCTCTCCTCCACCACTAATACTAAGTGGGACTCCATAGAACAAGCAATTTACAGAAAGCTGAGCTTCCACAACAGCCAACTGTTGAGCTTCCATTATTCCATAATAGACAGTTCTATAATGTGAGGGTAAAGGAAAAAGCTATACTACAGAAAGCTCCCACCCATAGCGGGTTCAAGAGAGGTAAGTGGTTGGCAGTTTTACCTCCATAATTTTTACTTCAAATATAAGCATCTTACAAATAGAGAGAATTATTGGTGTTGGTTCAAGGCCAACAAGAAAGTAAGAACAAAGCATGTTGTGAAGCCTAGAGGGATGAGCATGTCTCTGTTGATTCTAAGTCATTGGAACTGCAATTATGTACACGATTAGATTCTTCATGTACCAATGCACAGCTTTAAAAAGATTGTCTCCCATGTCTTCAAACAAATTCAAAACCAAAGGTATGTGCTGATATTACAAGGGCAAATTCTTAGAAAATAAAGCAACTTTATGAGAATCAAACCTCTCCACTAACTCTGCAACTGACAGGACTACTCTGCAGGTCAACACTAATCGAAGATGAGGATGAGGAGGACTTGAGTTTCTTGTAAGGATGTTGCCCCACATCATTCGAACTTGCTGCACCTGAATAACTACACAAACTCTTTTTGCATACCAGATAAGATTGTATCCGACGCATGGCAACAACCGGATCTAGCATCTGCATTTGGAATGACACATTTTGTTTAGTATAATATTTAGATTCCTGAAAATGGCACCATTGGTGTGGGCATGAAATTGGGGAAACTGAATCATTAATACCATTCTCATATTCTTAATAAAGGTATTGCCAGATATTGCATGTCGTTTCAAGCACCAGGTGCCCATAAAAAGGAGAAAGGGAGCATAGAAAGGAAAGCAAGGACAGAATTATTATGTAGAATCAATCAGACTCCTTTTGAATTCTAAAAACAGCAGGATATCCCTTGGGTGTATTTTTTTAGACATGATCCAATGCTAGCAATTCTTACATCGTTGTTTCCCCATGCTCAGAAGTTCCTACCAACTTATTCTAGAATAGCCCAAAATAGGAAAAGGGCTGGCGGGTAGATAGTGAGTAATATGAGGATTAGTTGGTAAGATATAAGCGAGAATGTCGGCTTGACTAATGCAAACATTGGTGCGAATCCAATGCCCCGAAAACCTAAGGATTCCTCCGATCAAGCCGAAAGGTGTAGTCGATGGACAACAAGTGAATATTCCTGTACTACCCCTTGTTGGTCCCGAGGGATGGAAGAGGCTACATTAGTCGAAAGATGGTTATCGGTTCAAGGACGTAAGGTGACCCCGTTTTTTCAGGGTAAGAAGGGGTAGAGAAAATGCTTTGAGCTAATGTTCGAGTACCAAGCGCTACAGCGCTGAAGTAACCCATGCTAGACTCCCAGCTCAAACAGCCTTCAACAAAAGGGTACAGATCAGCTATAAAATCTTTATCCACTTTCAACTAACATCCAAAAACGCACAGATGTGTTTATCTTTGTTTTCCTACATACATTCATGTCAAGCAAAGGAGAAGGCAAAAGATGGGGAGGAGCTAAGCCCAGTCATAACTCAATTATAGAAGAACATGGAGCTGAATCTGTTCATAAAAGTGTTGATGCAGGAAAGGAGGAGAGAAGAATCAATTATACCTCATCAACTTCTTGTGTAAAAGCAACCACACTCTGCCGAAGCAATGCCTTTGCCCTTTCCTTTTTGTAATCTAAAATCCCAGCTCCTAGGACATCACAAAATAAGGAGCCAGTAAAACAATTACCCTCTTTGGCACTGTAATTATTCTTGGTTATATCCTTGTCTTTGACGACATGTGTTTTTCCAGTGAAGTCACAGATTTGGGATGAGGAAGGCAGAAAATCATCATCCTGTGAGAATAGTTCTGCTACTTCACGTTTATAAAAACTAAAATAATCTGGTCCCACTCTATTCGGTTCAGCTGAAGCACCCAAACTCCTTGAAGCGTCTGACATAACACAGAAAGACCACTTCTGCAGTACATTATAACTACCGTTGATCAGCATGTGTACATAAACAGTGTGATTCAGATGGAAAACTGCAGTTAAAGGCTCAGTCCAAAACATGGTTGTGCATGCTACAATATAAAAACTACCAAAAGAACAGATTACTTCAGTAGCTGTTAATAAGGACACTCCTGTTTATAGCATTTAATTTGTTTTTGCTCACTGTCCCTATACTGTGGTGAAATCCAAAGAGACGTGTGAATATTGGATGAAGCAACCACCATGTTGTAAAGCAATGTGTAAAAGAGAAGAGGAGGACTTCCCTAGAATTTCCACAATTCGATAACATGACGAAACTAAATGCAATGATGACAACTAAGCAATAAACCATGCTATCTCTGAAGTGATTCTAAAACATTTTTTTCTCATTTGATTGTTGGCAATGAGAATTGAACCCCAGCCCCTCGCATGTCATGCTAACTCATAACCATTTTGCTACAACAGATTGGGTTTTTAGTTGGAAATAAATTTCTTCAAAATAGAACATAAAAAAATGACCGGATTTCTAAAAAAGCGCAACATGAGCAGCTGACCCTATTTATACATCAAAATAGCATGGATGTAAAGAAGAATTTTAGAAAAAGATTGCACACAAACCTGTTCACATGAAGAAATGTGAACTATCAAAAAAAAATAAAAAAATTAAGGATTTGATCTTTTACATAAGCTGATAATATGCCGGTTAGAGTTACAAGCATGTGCAATAGTCATCTTAGCAACATGATTGAAATCCTGCATGCAACATTCCCAAACTATTCAGAGAAACCACAAGCCTTGAACTATCTATAAGTTTTGTTTAATGCATCTAGAGTTACTTCACTGCTTTTTATTTACATCATCTCCTCCCATGTACCACCGAAAAAACCATGGCAAGAGATGAAGATATGAATTTTGATACTAGTGTTTAAAAGAGCAGTGAGTTCCTTGCTCATATCTCNTATTTACATCATCTCCTCCCATGTACCACCGAAAAAACCATGGCAAGAGATGGAGATATGAATTTTGATACTAGTGTTTAAAAGAGCAGTGAGTTCCTTGCTCATATCTCCCTGCAACTGGTAAATTCCAATGCTAGTGATATCTCTAAGCTTCTATTCAAACAGAATATTTACAAAGAAGACCAAAGCTCAGAAGATGGTGTCTAAAATCAGTCAAGATTAGCCTCCAGAAGGGATGAAGGTCACAAAGACGATGCTGTGAATAAAACCCAAAATATTTGACAATGGATACCTAAAACACCTAGTTGCCCGTGCTGTGAGCAATATAAAGATCAATTTTATCGATGTTGTGTTTAGGAGCTTCAAATTGGTGACCTGGAGTTGAAATTAAAGACCAGTTACCTCATATTTTAATTAAGTTTTCTTCCAATTTAAAATCCAACTCCAATGCATGACTTTTATGCGCTTCCAAACTTAATATCAAAACTATAAATTTCAGGAACCCATTCTGCATTCCTTTTCACCAATAAAAGAGTGATATACGATGAAATAAACATCAAGGGACCTATCTAGTCATCAAATCCGAAGCCAAAATTTGAATTTCTAGTTCTTCAATCATAAAAAGAACAATATCGGAGATTCTTTAACACCCAAGTTCAAATTCAAAATTCAAACAACAACGCGCACAAACGAAAGCCAAACGTGTGCACTAATTGATCCTACCAAAAAACAAAAGCATATTCAAGATTTTGAAACTAAATTGATCAGAAAACGCTCTGAATATCAAGAAAAATTTCCGGACACATGGAGAATGATGAAAATCAAAGAAAGCAAACCTCATTCAATAAATTTGTTTTCGTTAGGGTTCCAATTCTTCGTTCGTCTCTTCACATCTCAGTCTTCAAACCGACATTCCCCGCACGCTACCTCCCCTACCAAAGCCAATCATATAGATAGTCTCGACCTCACTCCGCCAACTCTCTCTCTATTTTGAATTGTAGAACAAACTTTCTCTCTCTACAGGGAAGAAACGAGAGGCCTGAGGGTGGGTTTTAGTTTTAGAGAGGGAGGAGTCGTCTGGAGCTACCTCCGCACCTGTTAATGGATGATTGCAAAGGAAAGTTGAGTGACTCGTGATTCTTGGTACTATTTGTGCGTGTCATTTTGTCATAGAAGGTCGGTAATGTCGCATATGGAATAGGGGTTGTCAATGGGCCGGGTTGACCCGTGGAAGCCTTTTGTCTGGCCTGGAAAACTTGGCCCTATATCCAGCTCCTACCAAAATTCGGCCTGTTGGAGATGGCCTAAGTAATGAGTTAGAATTGATAACACCAAAAGGTTAGAGTTTTAATCCTTTTAAGTTAAAAATCACAAATTTATTAAATTTTAACTTTTAAGATGTAATTTTACTTTTTTTTAATTCTAAAAATAACCCGAGGACCAACCTAAGGGTGAGGATCCTCTGTTGTTGTTAGAAAATCAATAGCAGAAACGTTGTTGATTAAAACATCGTAGTTTTACATTAAAACAACGTTGTTTTGTTAAATAGATCAACATTATTTTGGTATAAACTAATAATGTTTTAATTAATAACACTTCTATTAATCGCAGAGGAGCCGGACCCCCAACTTGGTCTTGTCGACTCAAAAAACCTGCCCAATTGTTATGGGCTAAGTTGTGGCACAAACCCCCCCACCAAATACTTGGCGTGGCCCAACTTCATTTTGGCCAATACCCAATCTGGCCCAAACTTTTTTTTTTTTTTACTATTTTGAAAAACAATAAAAGGTGTCAAATATGTGTCAAGGAGACATTTCTAATTCAAAAAAATTCACATTAAAAAATTAAAAAAAAAGAAGAAAACAAGGAGAGGTTGGACCTTCCAAAGAAAATCTCACAAACTCTAATCTCGTTAAGGATTAAATATTTGTTATTCAAACATAGAAAACGAATAAAAGAGAGAGTTTTAGGCAATGCTTTTGTTTTTCCCGACTTTAAGACAATTCTTATTTTTTTGGCTAAAAAACAGATAAGGAATCAAATTTTTGTTAATGTTATGGTTAGTACGAGTTACTCGTAGTCCGTTTCTAATCAAGGGGCTTCAATCTATATATTTTTAGTAAGCGATTTAAGTAAAGAAATGGAAAGAAAGGCAGGTAGCCCGGTGGTGGATATGGTTCATGGTGGGAGGATCCTTCAAGCTTAAAACTCCAATACAAGATCAAGAACACAGATTACTAATAGTCTTCCAACTAAGTTTTAGAAATGACTTTTATATACAAGAACCGGACTCATATATACAAGAACAAGTACAAAACATAATCATCTAGATACTAAACCTAAAGAGTAGCAAGGACAGCATCAACCTAGACATTTTATAATCTTAAAAACCTCAGAATAGCAACAAGAGTAGAGCCCACTAGGATTTTGTCCCTTTATTCGCAAGCATCATCATAGGAAGAAGAAAAACACAGCCAATCTCCCACACACCACAGTTACTTTACTGAAATCTGGTGTAAAGACTTCTTATGTTGATACTTTAATTAATTCATATATTTTACCATATCAGCAACAAACAACCTGAATCCTCATTTTCCCTCTCTACAAATTTCATGCTCATTGGCCCATTGGAAAAAGTGAGGAAGGAGTGTGAATGTTACACCAAAGACAGGGATTTGTTCTTCCAGGTATTTTAACCTCAATGGAAGCAAGGAAGTTGATTCGCCCAAACTTTATTCCATTTTCATCACTATAAATAGACCAACCAGTTTGGGTTAACAATCACAAGCAATCTCAATCAGATTTCATTTCCTTTCTCTCTCTCTCCTGCTTCTTCTACTTTGTCGTTGCTAAAAATGGCCCTCACCACCAGGCAAACACCCAGCGCCATGCAACAACCGAGCAACATGCAACAACTGATGCCAGCACCGAGCGACATGCAACAACTGAGGCCAGCACCGAGCAGTATGCAACAACTGATGCCAGCACCGACCAGTATGCAGCAACTGGTATCAGCACCGAGCAGTACGCAGCAAAATGTATCAGCACCAGGCAGCATGCAACGCCAGATGCAAGCACCGAGCAGCATGCAACAACTGATGCCAACACCCATGAGCACGCAACAACTGATGCAAACACCCATGAGCACGCAACAACTGATGCAAACACCCATGAGCACGCAACAACTGATGCAAACACCTAGCAGCATGCAACAACAGCACACTAGCAGCATGCAACAACAGCACACAGGCAGTCGACCGATGATCTCGAGCTCGGAAGATGCTGCGATGACGAGGCTAGTTCAGGGATACCATGCCCCCGATGGCAGGGAGGTTAACGTGAAGCCACTCCTCAAACTTGCCGAGGATATCTTCTCCCGTGCCGATGCCATTGCCATTGCCATTCTCGGACCGGTATAACAGACCTTTATTTTTTTTTTTGTCATGAACCTTCATTCCAACACATGGTGTTATTGATATGTTGCAGTAACTAAATTGCTAATCAACCTTCCTATGTAGGCCTATCAAATTCAGAGTACGGGAGCTTTTGAGGACTTGAAGACTACCCAATCTGCAAGCTTGCTTGACATGCCTGATGCTCCAGCGTATACCATTGATCGAATTGCCAGCGAGGTTATCCTTATGCTTTTGTATAGACTCTCCCCCTTGTGCGGACCCAACATGAAATTTAATTTAAACAGCTTTGAATGATAAATGGGTGAACCTATTTAATATGATACGAACCCGGGTGGAACATTTATTTAACACAACATAACCAAACCCAAAGCGTGTCATGTATCTATTTAACTAATCAAAACATTTGTCATTGACAGATAGCATCCTACTACGTGGCAGGGAGTGATGCACATGCAACAACAGTCTCAGTTCTCCAGCACTTGATATTGAGCTACAAATGGGATGCCAAGATGGTACTGGTCTTATCAGCTCTGGCAGTGAAATATGGAGAATTTTGGCTACTAGTCCATTTTCACACCACCAACCCATTGGCCAAATCCGTGGCAATCCTCAAGCTACTGCCTGAAACCTTGGAGCATCAAAGCCTTCTGAAACCCCGGTTTGACGCCATTAGAATGCTTATTAAAGCTATGGTTGATCTCGCATACTGCATTCTCAGGTTCAACGATCTTCCACCTCAGTATTTCGCCACCGAGAATATACCGGCGGTGTCCGCCTTTGAGGCTCATACGCCAATTGCCGTCTATTGGACCATCAGAGGTGTTGTGGCTTGTGCTGCTCAGATTGCTAGCCTGATCGGGATAGGACAAGAGTATGTGCCCCTATATCCATCAGAAGCTCAATTTTTATTTTGTCTACAAAATATTAACACTAATGGCTTCCTTGAATATTTCATATCTGATATTTTACATCAGAGGTGAAATTTGGATGGGTAGAGAGATCAATCGGGACTCATCCCAAGTTTTAAAACACTTAACCCAAGTACTCTCATATTTGAATTGGGATCAGAGAAAATCAATGTTTCCTACATAGTCTTGCTATCTGATATAATCAGCTTTGATCATTGGTTTACTATTTTCAGGACCAACTTTTCTAATACAAAAGTGACGAGTTTCTCACATTGATTTCAGGTACATTTCATCAACAACCGAGTCTTGGGAACTGTCAACCTTGGCTCACAAGATCAATAACATACATAGCTTCCTAACAGAACAACTGGAACTGTGCGATAAACATATAAGTGAGCGTAAAGGATATGTGTGTAGGTGTGCGTGCGTGCGTGTGTGCAATATCCAAGCTTATGCCTAACCAGATATTATCACTATTTACAGAGGAGAGAAAGCAAATTGAAGTCTACCAAGATCTACTTCGTTACCTTAAAACACCCCAACTTGATAACATCAAGTTTCTCAGAGCATTGCTTTGTGGAAAGGATGATCCAACTCCAATTGTCGATGGAGACACAAAACTGAGGGTATGCTCTATAATCCTTCGATTATTCTGGATGAGAGCTCCTTTGTGTGCCCTTGAAGTCTGGTTTGAACTTTATTGTACATCTCTTTTCTGAATTAATAGAATTATCCTAACGCTTATGACCTGCTGTCTGACAAAATCAGGTTAACATTGAGGTCTTGAGGATGAAAAACGTGCTGTTGCTCATATCAGACCTAGACATCCCACAGGAAGAGCTTGCAAACCTGGAAAACATATACCAGACCCACCGGACAAGGCAGAACATTTCGTACGAGGTTGTGTGGCTACCAATCCTAAATGAAACCGACTTGTGGACTCCAGAAAAGCAAAAGCAGTTTGACGAACTGCAGCGTCCAATGCCATGGTACACATTGCACCACCCTTCACTGATCGAGAAGCCAGTAATCAGGTTTATTAGGGAGATATGGAACTTTAGAAAGAAGCCAATTCTTGTGGTGCTTGACCCACAAGGACAGGTTGTGTCCCCGAATGCTCTCCACATGATGTGGATTTGGGGCAGTAAGGCTTCTCCTTTCACAACCATGAGGGAGATATCTCTATGGGAAGCAGAGTCTTGGAGGCTTGAGTTGCTGGTGACTGATGAAATTGACCCCACAATACAGACCTGGGTATATCTATCATTGCTTTTCAATCATTTCATATTCATTGCTTTTTAATAGCTTCTTTTTCATGAATCCAAAAAGTTTATAATTTGGAGATCCTTATCAACAGATATCACAACGAACACTCATATGTCTGTATGGTGGAGAAGACCTGGACTGGATTCGAAATTTTACAAAAGCTGCACGAGACGTTGCCCAAGCTGCAGGCATTACCTTGGGAATGGTATATGTAGGAAAGAGCAATCCAAGGGATAGAGTCCGGAGGAACATATTAAGCATCAGCGAAAGCAAAATTGGTAATTCCTGGGATCTGAATCAGATTTGGTACTTCTGGGTTAGACTTGAAAGCATGCTCCAATCTAAGATGCAACTGGGCAAAGCTCCTGAGACTGATCCTGTAATGAAGGAGATTATGGCAATGCTGAGTTTCGACAGCAGCGAGATTGGATGGGCCTTGATGAGCATAGGATCAGCCGACCTGGCCAAAGCAAAGGGAAGTATTTTCTTGACTGGCTTGATGCAGTTTGACAGGTGGAGAGAAAATGTGCAGACTCAGGGTAGTTTCATGGCGCCACTGAGGGACCACCTCAATTTCCTGATCAAAGAAGCCCCACATCACTGTAACCGATTGCTGCTTCCGAGCACTGCCGGGAAGATCCCAGAGAAAGTTGTGTGCTCCGAATGTGGCCGTCCCATGGATAGGTACATCATGTACAAATGCTGTGATGAGTAATTACATAGGGTCATCATCGGATCAGACACCATATATATCTACCTAAAATAACTAAGTGTGTGGCAAGTTTGCTTTGTGGTTTTCCTTTGAATATAATGCTGGGCTTGTAATAAGAAAAAGCAGTGTCGGGGATTGGCAGTTGGGTCCTTGGATTTTGGACTTTATTTGCTCTTGAACACTGAAATGTAATACAATAAATCTTGTGTAAACCTTCAAAGTTTGAGTAATACAATAAATTTTGTGTGTAATTAAAGTTGTTATTTTGTTTACTAATTGTAGAATAAACTCACAAATTATGCAACAATTCAAGAATAGAAGCAACCCGATAATCAAAAGGTGGAATAAAGAATAATTCAAACGCATGCCAAAGTTGTGGAGCTGCTTGCCAAAATAGGCATGCATGTTGTAGAATGTGACATGTCCCCTTACTCTCCTTTCCCTAATATGAACTTAGAGTCATCAAAGCCTTTCTGATTTGGCGTGGCCCCGTCACCCTACGCGACTAGCGCTTCAAAAGGCAAAACTGTCATCATAGTTTGGCGATCTGTACTGTTGAAGTTACTTTTGCTGCATTGATCATTATACAAAGGATGGTCAGAATCTAATTGCTTTGGCTCCAAAATATTCATTACAATACACTCTGATCTAAATTGCATAAGATTAACATAAGAGTTATGTTGACAAGCATCCTATAACCTTAAAATTCAAAGTACAAAACCTAGTAAAACTTTTACATAGCAAAAATAGAAGCTAGGAATCAGAATTTTCGTCCCTTTTCACTATTATCACATGGCAAAACGGTATATTGTTTGTGTCAATTGGGCCAAAATTGAGCCAACACTCCACATATTCTAGAAGTGAAAATCTATTCCCTTGTATTTAGTGTTCAAAAAAATAATAATCCTCGTGTTTCATGGCTAACAGTATTTACCTTTTTCATGGACCCATTAGCTCAGATGGAGGATACTGCAAAACAAAGTAAAGTAGAAACTCTAGACCAAAAAGAACCTTAGGGGACTGCCGGATCCACCAAAGAGAACTACATAAATATATAAAATGTTTCCCTATGGGTATTTAGACAAAATACTTTTATGTTAAACAAGAGGCTTACAGGATCAGAACATACAAGACCAAGAGTGGCATGTCTGAGCTATTAGATCGCCAAATAAATTCTGGTCAATGCACCAAATAAGGATCGCTTTTCAAAATCCTGTTTGGCTCACTATACCCTACATACACATTTTTATAGTAAAAGATCAAAGAGTGGCTGAATTGCCTTTATCTGGCACCAAACATGCCAATATGCCAAGATAACCCCCGTTGCTCCATTAACTACAAGTATGCATAAAACTATCAAAATAACAGGAAAAGATGAGACGCCAAGAAACAAACTACGAAAGGTACTCATTATCACTTTTTTCATCTTAAAGCAGTGAACAATCGGTCAAAATCTGCAAAGCCAACTCTTCAATAAAATTACAAACCAAAGCAAAATCCTTAAGAGTAGAAATTGGTTGAGTTATGTCAAAAAGTTTCAAGGTGCAGGTGCATACTGAAATTCCTAAATATCAGTTATATCCCAGGCCAAAGCACAAAATTCCATCTTGAACTACCAAATTTCCACCTAAAATCTAAAGTTAAAACAGCTTCCTACATGTTCTATGCATTACGCCTGGAAAATGACCATGCCAATTATCCTACGCAACAGAGTCAGAATTATACCATCAAATCGATCATGAATCACACATCTCGCTTTGAATCCCAATGACAGACAATATAACTTTTATTTTACCAGTAAAACTTATTACCAGAAAACTAACACGGAAGTCAAATTATGAATAATAAAAGCTCGTGAACTTTGGACAACACAATTTTAAAAGGCCATAGAATGAGAGAAGTTCATACACCCCTTAAAGGGTGGAAGTCCAAGCATTTTTTGGTGAAGATGAACCAAACTAAACATGACTTAAAACCCAAAATATGAGCAATAAGCTCAATACCAACAATATCAAACACCCACTCAATAAATAGCTCCTGATTTTCAAGCATGCCTCGTCATACTTGAATACACTCAAAGCATCCCTCTTAATACTATTTCACTAGGCCTTATGAACAAATTGATCCATAGAGACAGTACATGCAATTCTTTGGCCATCACTCCATGAAGAAAAATTGATAGCTCATGAACATAAATCATAAGCGCCAAATTCTTTCAAGTGTCATCAATGAACAGAATTTTTTACAATAATAACTAGTTATATATCAAAGCATATCCTATGAAACTCCTAGGAACGTTGGTGAACATCAATAATTTTAAAGAATGAGGAAGTTAGCTACCTATGTTTTCCTTTTGAGGCGTTTTCTTAGCTTACCTAACTTATGCTTGTTCATCTTCCTCTTCCTTTTCTTCTTAACACTATCGGCCAAAATCGTCTGCGAATCATCGGAAACGACGTCGTCAGTCCCGGATTCGACGAATCCAGATGAAGAAGAAACAGGGTTCAGGAAAAACCCAAATGGATGATAGCTTGGGTAAAACTGTAAGGACCGAAAATTGCCTGATTCATCGGTTCTGAGTAGACCCAATAAGGGGATAAGATTGGTAGGACAGTGGTGAAGTGGTTTCGTTTCAGAGAGATGAGCCAAAACCGATTGTGGGAGAAGCTGTTGTTGGGGTTTGTGGAGAATAGTGATTATTCTTGAAGCTGACTGGTTTCTGAGAAGTTTTTGGAAAGTAGAAGCCATTGAACTAGAAATGTTAACCCAAATCACAACAAAAGCGAAACTATCAATTAAGAGTTTTGAATAGTTACAGATCTAAAACAGCCATTATTGAATGCTGGGTCATTGTTCAGATGATTTCTGGTTCTTGATCGCAACAGAGGACAATGCACAAGACCTTAGGTTTTAGGTCATTATGAGCATGACGGCTGATCCTCTTCTTGCATTAACAATTTGGCTTGAAACGTAGATAAACATTACAAAATACAAATAATTGAAAAAAAAAACCAGAGTAAAATTGTGCCCCCATGCAGGATCGAACTACAGACCTTCAGTTTACAAGACTGACGCTCTACCACTGAGCTATAGGGGCTCATTTAACCACACACTCTTTATTTAGAAACTTTATTGTTTTTTATTATGATTTCTGTAATTTTATTTTATTTAATTTGGTGAAATAGGATACCTTAATTAAATTAAGAGCTAAACGTGGATAGGATACCCCCATAGCATCAACTATCAAGTTGTGGACCTTTGTTTTGGGCCAAATAATAAGACCTGTGAACAATCTGACCTATAAATACCCTTACAAGCAACCTAACCACAATAAATGTTGCATCTTAGATCCGTATTTCACATTCATTTCCATTCTACCTCCTTAGTAAAGTCACTTGGGTCCGNAAGTTGTGGACCTTTGTTTTGGGCCAAATAATAAGACCCGTGAACAATCTGACCTATAAATACCCTTACAAGCAACCTAACCACAATAAATGTTGCATCTTGGATCCGTATTTCACATTCATTTCCATTCTACCTCCTTAGTAAAGTCACTTGGGTCCGATTGGGCTAAGGCATATGCCGATTTTGAGTCGAACAAGCCGGATGCTTTCCCAGAACTATTTGAAAATGTTAGACTTACTTAACTTTCAGTATATTATTTTCCATTAAGCCTATGAAAACATGGCCCAGTGCTTCAAAGTTTCACTACTACTTTTGAACACTCCCCCTCCCCTGAATTTTTTTTTTCTTTTAGCATCTGCATAAAAGGGGGAAATATTTCTGAACCATTCCTTTTTAAGAATTAATGAAGAGTCTATGATTTCTGCGCTTATTATTCTTTGTTGAATTGTTAGAAATAGAGGCCATACTTGTTGAGGTGGGGCTTGAGATTAATTTGAAGTGCTTTTGGTTCGAAACATAGGTGTCAGCAATGGACTCAAAATTGCCAACTGAAAATACCACAAACTGCTTTTCCTATACTTGTTCGTAATTTCTTGTCCATCTTGGCATTGGCATGGTGAGAATAGACTGAAGCTTGCTTAGAATACAGAGCTACACTTGCATGAAAGAAAATCACTCTATTCTGCACTTGTGATGATGTTTCTTTCTTTCTTTTGTTTTTGGCTACAGGAACATCTAGGTCATCAGTCAATGGCTAACCCGAATGAAGTAGTCGGAGAATTGTTCTTGGTACTCCCTTGAACTATAATGGTTCTTTGTCGTTTTGGCCCGGTTTCATGCAGGGTCGATACTGGGGTAACCACCCTGCTGCATTTGATCAAGGGGACAATTCCTCCTTAATTTTGATACCGCTGTCATCGATAGAGAAGACAACTAACCTTAGTATAAGTCACCTTTAATATTTGAGTATTAGTCACAATTTAAACATATATATAGGGACATGCATCCTGCAAGTGGCTGAAAGTAATCAGATCAGTTTGATACTTTTTGTTCGTGATTCAGAGCATATCATCTGTTTGGTACATGAATTTTTGTGGTGTCCTCCTGAATGAAC